GAACAAATTCATTTAAGAACACTCACACTGAGGGCTGGGCAGAAGCAATGGTGGCAGCAGCTTTTACCCAGTCTACACATCTCCTTTATCTCCTTCCTCGTGCTATGAGACTCTTTGAAGTGCAACAGAGAAAGTCCAGTGGGCTCTTCTCTTTTCTGCACCCCATCCATGGCACCTTCTTAAAAATTTGGATAAATCCCTTTCCTTCCTTCCTAAGACCCCATTGCAGAGATGGGGCTGGGCTTGGATTTGTTTTGACTGGTTACTGGGGGAGATGTATGACTCCACCCACCCACCCACTCCGCCCCACCAGTCAAAACCATATATAACCAAATTCCCATTCTATTCTATACTACTTTTCTAAAATAGTTTTGAGGAGCTGAATCATGTTCAGGCCATTTGACTGCACCTTAGCTACTATTAGTTCCGCAGGACAAACCGAGGTATTTTTGAGCATGCAGGGCAGATAGCAAAACTGAGCTGGTAAGCATCCTCCAAAAACAAGGAGTTTGGCTGGCCAGCTTCTCAGCACTATTCTAGGCTTGTAAAGTTGGCACAGAGTGCTACTTGTTCCTCTGCACTGGGGGCTCTGGGGTTTTAGAGCTATTGAGCTTTCTGTCGGGATAACATTTCAGTACGTGTCCTAAATGCTCTGCATATAAACACGAGGGCCCCAATAAGGAGTAACTTGTGAGTCATTGAAAGCCGAAACCAAACTTAAGAAAAGCTATTTTGTTTTCTTAAGGAGGGATTTTTTTAGAGAGAGAAAAGAAAGTACAATTACACACTTGAGCTATTTGGCAGGTTTGTAGAGAAAGGCACGGCTTGCAAATTAGAAAACCTTCTCCTCCCTACAGGAGTGCGTCATTGACTTGTAGAACTGTTATTGAAGCAGTTTCTAAACTAGTCCTGTTTGCTAGCCACAGAAACTTTATATATATATATATAATAAACAGGCATGAGGCAGATGCCTGCAAATTGGCTATTAACTGACTTCTGATCCCTAGGAAATTGGGTCACTCTGTGTACTTGATAAAAGATATTTCAACTGTGAAGTAATGGTACTGGGTAAACACCAGATAATGTTGGCCTTTCCTAGAGGAAAAAACATTAACTGCTTAAAATTACTGTACCATAACACTCCACCTTTACATCTGTGCTACTGACTCTCAAACTTTGGGATTGTTGAAATATATACAAAAATAATAATAATTTGAGTTGTGTGACTCAAATAAGGTCTACTAGATCCAATTTTTTAGAGTAATGTGAACTCCTGGGACCCCTTCAGGATTAGGGGCCCTGACGCTGAAGCTTCATCAGTATCACAGTATTGTTATTATTATTTATTGAATTTATATACCGCCCTATACCCGGAGGTCTCAGGGCGGTTCACAGAATAAAATCAAGATACAAAATCACAAAATACCTAAAAAAAATAAAAAACAACAACCCAATAGCCCCCCAACACATTTTAAAAGGGCATAGGATGTAAATCGGATCAACCAAGGCCTGGTTAAAAAGGAACGTTTTACCTGGCGCTTAAAGGTGTATAATGAAGGCACCAGGTGAACTTCCCTGGGGAGAGCATTCCACAGACAGGGAGCCACTGCAGAGAAGGCCCCGTTCTCATGTTGCTACCCTCTGGACCTTTCAAGGAGGAGGCACAAGAAGGAAGGCCTCAGAAGATGATCTCAGGGTAGGTTCATATGGAAAGAGGCGGTCCTTGAGGTATTGTGGTCCTGAGCCGTTTAAGGCTTTATGGGTCAAAACCAGCACTTTGTATTAGGCCTGGAAACTAATTGGTAGTCGGACCTGGATCGGTGTATTATGCTCAAACCGTGAGCAACCTGGCTACTGAATTCTGCACTAGCTGAAGTTTCTGAACCATCTTCAGAGGCAGCCCTATGTAGAACTCATTGCAGTAATCTAACCTTGAGGTTACCAGAGCATAGACAACAGTAGTTAGGCTATCCCTGTCCAGATAGGGGCGTAGCTGGATGGAAGGCACTCCGAGTCAGTGAGGCCACCTGAGCCTCGAGTGACAGCAAAGGATCCAGGAATACTCTCAAGCTATGAACCTTCTCCTTCAAGGGAAGTGTAACCCCGTCAAGAGTAGATCCATCCCTGTGCATAGTCAGATTAACCAAAAACACCAACCCATCAGTGGCCTGTCAAGGGAACTGGATCCACTGTGCTAGATTTCCAACAGGTGGATTGCTATTGTGTAGCAGGAGGGAGAAGGATGAAGCAGAGGGGAGGGTGGCACAGTGTTAACTTATTTCAGATGTTTCTTTCATTTCAACAATTGTAAGTAAGAAGTGGATTGGAAGCACCTAGAAATATTCCCCTGCCCCACCTGCCACCCAAAAAATCGCAACATTATGCTTCTTAATATTATAGCTATTTTATAAGGCACATAGAATTTTCTAGGTGCTGGTTAGAGCTTTTTTTAAAACAACAACAACAACAAAACAGTTCTGGATCCTTGACTCACAATGTAATAGACATGAAACATAAAGGAAAAATGAATGGCATGGGAAGAGGAAAACAAAAGTTCCAGAAAAGTTGCAGAATTGATATTCTAGTCACCAACTGGAATGGCTGCTGAGAAGACAGTTGTGGAGGAGGAAAAGCTAACCAGCAGCTGACTTCATTCAACCCCATGGCTTCGCTGTCTTTCTTTAGGCTCTCACAGGAGAGACTTGCTACAATGCTACTAAAGTAGCTGATTGGATGGCATACAAAACCCAGAAAACATTTGACGTACAGTGGTACCTCAGGTTACATATGCTTCAGGTTACATACGCTTCAGGTTACAGACTCCGCTAACCCAGAAATAGTGCTTCAGGTTAAGAACTTTGCTTCAGGATGAGAACAGAAATTGTGCTCTGGCGGCGCGGCAGTAGCAGGAGGCTCCATTAGCTAAAGTGGTGCTTCAGGTTAAGAACAGTTTCAGGTTAAGAACGGACCTCCGGAACGAATTAAATACTTAACCTGAGGTACCACTGTACTGTATATTGTTTCTAGGATGCTTGTGCTGTTAAAAAGAGCTTAAAAGAAGGCTTTTTGTTTTTAATGTAGGTGTTCTTTCTTTCCCCCCTCCCTCCTTCGTCTGGGTGGCTGTCTCACATTTAAGCCAAAATCCTAAGTACAGTATGCCCTGTACATGTAGCTTCGCCTTTTCCTATTAGTTCAAATATTTTACTGTACTAGTTCATTTTAGTCAGAAACCGCTTTTCAGTTCGGAAAGGAGAGACAGGAAAACAAAATATCCTTTTAAGGTGGGTGGCACCTGCATGCTGCGTCTCATTGGAGCGTCTTAAAAGGCAGCAGTGGATGAGGTTGGTGGCGTTAGCAGTGTCTCTGCTGAACATGTCATAGAAGAGGGTTTTTTTTATGTCCAGCATGCAATTAGGGTTAGGTAAAGGAAGTTGAGCAATCACGCAATGGCCACTGTTATATAACTCACTAGGCTGTGCCCAGGGAACAGAGTTGTAACTTAATATTGCCACAGAAAATGCACTGCCGCAGCCAAGGGTCAATAGCTATTTCCATTATAAACTCTGTCTTGCAGCTAATTTATAAACCAGACCTTTATATTATGTCAGGCAAAGACTTGGCGTAGGGTTGAAGGAGGCATAATTTTTAAAAAATACTTTCAGACATACTTTTTTTAAAAAAATCTCAATTTCTTAAATTAGACCATTTTAAAGAGCAAGAAGAACGTCAGTGGTTCATGGCATTTTTTTTTCATGAACAGCTTTGGGATTAAATTGTGTTTCCTTGGCCGCTTTTGTCCCATAGAGCTAAATATGTGAGAAGTAGATATTCCAATGACAGCCGTATCCTGAGAATAACTCTACAGTACCAAATGGGACGCGGGTGGCGCTGTGGGTAAAACCTCAGTGCCTAGGACTTGCCGATCGTATGGTCGGCGGTTCGAATCCCCACGGCGGGGTGAGCTCCCGTCTTTCGGTCTCAGCTCCTGCCCACCTAGCAGTTCGAAAGCACCCCTAAGTGCAAGTAGATAAATAGGTACCGCTTTATAGCGGGAAGGTAAATGGCGTTTCTGTGTGCTGCGCTGGTGCTGGCTCGCCAGAGCAGCTTCGTCACACTGGCCACGTGACCCGGAAGTGTCTCCGGACAGCGCTGGCCCCCGGCCTCTTAAGTGAGATGGACGCACAACCCTAGAGTTGGACACGACTGGCCCGTACGGGCAGGGGTACCTTTACCTTTACCTTTACTTTACCAAATGGCTGCCTGGTACCTGTCTTCCACATTCCCAAGCAATGTGTGAGCACTGATATGCAGAAATCACATATGGTGTGGTCCATCTGGACTGTACCACTTAAGGTTGAAGTCTGGAACTTCATATTAGAATGCTTTATCATGTAAAAATACTCTCTATGTAGCTATTCTATAGCCCTATGTAGCTATTCTGCTCAAGTGTAAATCTTGCACACAAGTGGGAAGAACAGGGACAAATGCGCTAAGCTTTGTCCTCTATTCCTTCCAACTCATAGAGGGTGACAGCCTGAAGTGGGGAACCTCCAGTACTGGTGAAAGCTCCTCATGCTACTGGTGATTGCCCTGCAGGAGTTGGTGGGCAATGGGATATTGAGCTCAGTGTGCTCATCTCCACTCTCCCTGGTCATGTGCAGGCTTTACAAATGAGCAGAATGTCTGCATCACACTCTGGATATCCTATTTTTCTCCTAAAGGGAAACTTTAAATAATAGAGGGATATTCAACATATGATCCACCCCTAGACTGAAGTGATACTGTTTAGGAGAGGCTGCACCTTGTGCTATTTGAATGTGTTGAGAGATCTGAATCTCTTGCTGAAAATGACCGTCAATTTCCATTGTACGTATTTATCCCCAAACTCAGGGAGCTGCCTTATACTGAGTCAGACCATTGGTCCATATAGCTCTATATTGTCTACACTGACTGGCAGGGGCTCTCCAGGGTTTCAGACAGGGAGCACTCCCAGCTGTACCAGGAGATGCCTGGGATTGAACCTTGGACCCTCTGTATGCAAAACAGAGATTCTTCCACTGCACCACAGCCCTTTCCAAATGTTCACCCGTGAATGTGTGGCTATAAGAATGAAAGAATTGCAACTCAGGTGTATGTATTCTTCCTGGTGCTCATAATGGAAAGCTAAATACAAAAATATCTGCTCATCTCTCTAATCCGATGCTACAGTATTCACTAAATTGTACAGACCGCCTTGTACAGTAAGTCCGCTCACTCTTCTGGTGTGGCGGTGTTGCAGGACAGCAGAGGCTTCAAGGGGGACCCCAACAAGGGAATCTTAGCTTCAGTGCCCCTTCCTGATGGGTGGTGTGGGTGTAAGCCCACACAGCCTATCAGGAACCAAATCCTGGCCTGCATTGGCCAATGGGGATGCAGGCCTGGACATTGCCTGGGCCAGGGGGTGGAACTGATGGAGTGGGGAGGCTTCACTCAGGTCCACTCCCTGGCCATTTAAACAGCCCTCACCTGGGGCTACAGTATTCATAAATTGTATAGACCTCCTTGTACAATAACTATAGGTCGACAGGTGAAGAGTTCGCAGCATTTTAGAAACAGGCACAATAGAGTGTTTAACATATAAAGCCTTTGTCCTTGATTCATGTTGATCCTTTCTCAAAATATGACAGTGTGTTTGTTTCTATTGCTCAGTTGTTTATCTGAACTTACTACATCCATGTAACCATATATTATTCTCAGACCTTAAAACATGGAAAGAGAGAAACACTTCACAAAATTGACCCTCAGACACTTGGGTGGTAATTGGCATGAAGTGAAAGAAATTTTGTCAAATACTGTAATCTTTTGGCCTGATGAAGAGCAGTTCATTTGTTTTTTGTTCCTGTTCCAGCATAGTATAACATTATTGAAGATGACTTCATAGGTCAAATTGCACTAAGAAACAAAACTTGAATTTAGCATTAAAATCTTCTAACTTGACAGTCAATTATGTTTATTAGCGTCGCTCCATTCCAATTTCTTAAAATTTTCTGCCTGACTTAATCCCATCTTGAAGTTGACTAATTTAACATCCACAGCATACACTGAAAGCATATGGCTTTCCCCAAAGAATTCTAGGAACTGTAGTTCATTCCGGCTTATGGGTATAATTATGCATTATCAACTAAATGTCTGAGACATGGCTCCTTAAAAAAAATGAGCTATGACCCAGGACATCAGTACCCGGAAAGGTGTGACCTGGCTGGAGGATTTAATTTCTAATTTGTCCATGCTCCCAGGCATTATCAATAATGAAGTTTAATTTATCATTATCTCTGAAGTGAGTTTTTACATAAACAGCAGAAGACAATACACGGAGTGCTGTAGCTCTGTGTAGGGTAAACTACAGCTCACAGGATTCTTTGGGAAAAGCAGCATGCTTTAAATGTGCTTTTAGGATATGGTGCAGTGAATTCGGTGAATGGTTTGAAAATCAGCTGTGCTTTATCACAAAGAGGACTTGTACAAGGAACTGATTAACTCTCTTACTGAAATTATGTGGTTTCCAAGAATACATATGTCTTGACTATGTAGGACCAAATCAGGTCTTAGTGGTGGTTTTGTCTTCTTTTAAGATCTGTACACAACATGTGTCATTCAGAATGCTGGCATTATAAATGCTCATGTCATTCAAACATATTCTTGGCACAACAGCGATTAAGGGAAAATATTAATTTTCTTATAATGGCTTCTTCATTTTTCAGGCTTTAAGTGAAGCAGGAAACATCACTGGAGCATACAGTTTCACTAGTACCCTAGCGTGTGTTGCTTTTTACATCCAATGTCAAATGCATTCCTTAAAAGGATACCATATGTTTACACCAAAGTATCTGTTTGCAGTTGAAGACCATTCATTTGCCCCAACATGAACCAAATTATTTTAAACACAAACCAAGCTCTTAATTATCAAAAGATTCTATAGTTACTTTAAATGATCCTGGAAATCTCGAAGTATGGTGTATGTGCCTGTGATATTTCCTGCTTTGATAAATGCCTAGAGAAAAAAGGGGAATTTCCAGAAAAAGTTATGATCTAAAACAGCTCCGGACTTTTTTTTCCTATTCTGTATTCAAGTTGACTAGCTTAAATCTCCCACATTGAAACAAAAAACCTGAAACCAACCAAGGATTTGAGGTTTCCACAGAATGTCATATATGCTTATCAAGCAGTTAAGATGAGTACTGAGGAAAAAAGCTTGCAATGTATTTTAATTATGGTTATGTTTTTGAATTTTCCCAGTATGTTAATCCTACAACCAGCTTTAAGATTTCATAATGTCTCTCTGTGAAATAAAAATTAGGCCAGTGATGGTATGAGTGAAACACTTCTAAGTCTTAATGGTACACAGATTTTGGATGGTGTTTGCTCATTGTGATCATAGGGCTGGATGCTAAAATTACCTGTTCAGTATTGTACTGCATATGTAAGGATTTGCTTGTTCACTTTAGTAGATCTGTGTGCAACAATTCTTTCCACATATGGTGGAAAATCTTTCAGCCTAATATAAATGGAGACCTTATCCACTATGTTTCAACTATACACTAAAGATGAATTTGGCTGAGCTGGCTTGACACTTGCTCATGTTCTGTAGATAACAGAGTGCCTTCAAACATTCTGAAAAGCACAGAGATCGGGGAGCAAGAAACCCATACACTTCCTGCTTCCTTTGCTTTCTGATACAACCCCAAATTGTTAATGTTTTGACATCCAAGGGCAGCATGTACTTCCCACCTTCTAGAATGCCCAAGTCCTCCATCTCTGGGGGAAATGTAGAAAGAAATATTTATTTTCAACTTCTGCAAGTAGTTCATTTTTTCTTATTTGTTATATATTCCCAGGCATTATTAACTGAAATTAAGTCTTAACAACCATCTTTAAGGGGACAGAACTTTGATCAAATTAAGTTAAAGTGAGAGGTTGTCAGTGGTTCTGTTTTTTTAAACAGGTAACCTAGAAAGCAAAGAAGTGTTTTGTGGACAGCTTTATATGAATAACATTTGTTTTAAAATTTTGCATTTTTTAAAAAAACAGATGGCATCAGATAGTTCTTCCCTACAACGGATGAGACTATCAGAAGGCAGCAGTAGACAGAACCCTTCAAATGCACCAAATGCTTCAAATCCTCCTCAGCGCGAGAATTTTGATAAGAACTGTCCGGTAATGCAGACTTTTACTCAGTTCAGTTTGCACTGTGCTATCTGTGCTATCAATAAATTATTTACATCGGAATGGACTGAAGCTAAGTTAGTAAGTCCCACTGAAATTGGGTCTGTGAATATTTCACAGACAGAAAGTTGGTCCTGTCCCTTTTTCAACCTCTGCGTGGATTTTTTTGAAACTTCCAGAAAAGTACTTACAATTTTATAAAGTGGTCCAAGAACTGCCTTTTATTTTGTCTTTCTTTTTTAAAAAACTATTTAAATAATAATAATAAAAATAATAATACACCTTTATTGTCACTACACCACCTGTGAAATTTCTAGCCATTTGAAGAGCAAGTCTTTTTCCAGGCCTGTTTAAAATGTATCTGAAAATACCCTGGAAATAGTGGTATGTTGTGACACACAAAAAAAGATGGGGTAGCCAGATTGGGGTAGCCAGATTCTTTTCATACAATGCCCCTGGGAGGCTACCAGAAACAGGAGAAGGTTGAACATTTGGAACTGAGAGGGAAGGGGTGTTTGGTAACAAAAAGGAGGCAAATTTGCCTGGATTCCTATGTATTTTTAGCAGCTGGGAATATGATCTTTTTATGAACATGTTGGGCTGGTAGTCACCATTTTAGATTTCACAGAATGCCTTGTTCCAGTGGGGTCATTTTTGTAAGAAATGGCAGGTATCTCTCTCCCTCCCCCCCTCTCACACACACTTTCCATTGTTTTCTCTCTTTTTTTGCAGTAGCTGTCTTCCTCCCTCAGTGCCCCTCAATTGCCAGCCTAATGCTACATTAAGAGCTCCAGGATGTTTTGTCTATCCCCCTGAAGTTCACTCTGCCCTCCAAACTAAATAAAAATAAAAATATTCCCACTCCTTGTGGTGAATCAGGTCACAGAATGGAGAGGCCATTTTGCCTAGTGGTACATGAACACACATAGATCTTTTGGCTTTAAGTAATTATATAAAAAGAACCAAAAACCTTACTCAGGTTTAATTTTTTTTTAAGTCAGAGGTAGTATGATCATTCACGGCATGGTGTACATTCTCCTTTTTATCCCATTTCCTTCTTTATTGAAATGCATTATGGAAGTAAAGTTCCCAGAGAGGATTGTGAGACAAGAGTGCACAGTCCAGGCACTGGTGTTTCTTCATGAAGCCTCCAGCGCTTCTGAAAAACAACAACATGATCTTCCTTCTAGTCATACAATCAGAAAGAGCTTGTATTTTTTGTGCTGTTCACCATTCTGTGGCAAAACAGTTACTTGGAATAAAATAGATCACTGACTGAGAAGCTATCATGCTGAGTCTTTTAAAAAAAATAAAAATAAAAATACAGGCATCTTGTTCCTTCTCCAGCCTCCTTTAACTTTTCAAAAACATCTAGCTGGAAGGAAAAAGTTACTTAACCTTAAACAAAACAAGAACTGGAATTTAAATTTGATGGCACAGCTGTTCACAAATTAGAGCAATAAAATGAAAACTGTAAATGAGCTAACTAAAAATAACGAAGATTGGCTGGCTGGCTGAGAGACAGTTTTGAAAATCTGGAGGTACTCTGGAGCCTTGCAAAATAATCCAGTAAAAACCCATTAGCAGATCACTGAGATTTGAAAGTATTCCTTTCCTTATTCCCTAGCTGAGTCCTGTTTACAGTTTGCTCTTCGTTGCTTTGATATCACACTCTGCCGAAACAAGCTTTTATATCACACTCTACTGAAGCACTAAAAGCAGAACCTCAGGAAGGATATCTCTGTTCAGTTCGTCCTCTAATAACCACTATATTATCGTTAACAGCTTATTCACGTCTATGCTGCACATGTAAACAATTTTGAAATGTTTATCCCATTGAAGGTTCTCCCTATTGAGAGAGCATGTG